AACTTTCTGATTCAAATAATAATACTGATCTTAATACTAACTCACACTCGATCGGAACGTACAATGACTCATTTTCTAATCCTTCAAAATATCCTACTCAACAACAGTATATCTCTTCGCAAAATACCGCCACATATCAACAAATGCAATATGATGATTCTGTTCGACAGCAACAAATGATAGACTATCAACGACAACAGTATGAACAAAATCGATTACTTGCTGCACAACAAGCCAGAGCACAAGAATACGCAAATAGTCAATATGAAATGAATCAGGTAATAAGAGTGTATTGTTTATAGTATAATTACACCTCTCATATTTTCTGTGTATATTTTAGTATCAATGGCATTCGAAGTATTCAAACGACACTATGATGTCGTCTTCTTATCCTTATCCAATTGATTATCCCGCATATAGACAATCAGCATATCCAGTGCAACAACATATGCACAGAACAAATTCTATGATGTATCAACATCATCTACCAGCATCGCAACAACAGCGTCAGTATCATCATACACACTCTTCAACATGTTGTTCGTCTCAAACATGCTCTCCAACTATGCAAGATCAACAACAAGCAATGTATAATCAACGAATGCAGCGGCATCTGTCTTTACAACAGCAGAATCCGGCAGCGTTATCTGGATTTCCAGTGACAGCGACATCCACAGCATCTCAACAACCACCACAAACACAACAATACAGATAAGCTATACTGATTCAATTTGAGGTCTTGTTCATTTTTTTTTTGTCTCATTGATATACGATCATGCGCAATACATGGCAGATAATAAAATATTACAGTGCGAATATTAATCATTTTGTACTCTTTCTCTCTCTATCTTTCTCTTTTTTTTCTCAACATCTATTTCCTATACTCGTTTTGTACATTTGTTGAGCGATTAACTTTGTCCAAATATCTGGATTTGTTTACATATGTTGTAGTCAAAACTGGAATTCAATTAAATCTTAGATCTGTTTAGATGAAACTGAGGCGCGTATATGCAGTATTACTGTTTTATCTGGTCATAGCTAAACTTCGTCTCAACAAAATCAAACTTCGATCTTAATTTTGGATAGTGAAATTCTCATACTTAATTAAGCAAATCTAAAACTTGATCAATGGAAGTTGGAGTTTGTCTGAAAGTTGTTCAAGCTAGTCTGAAGAGCATAATCATCACAGTGGCACATGATTTGTTTCTTCTTCCATCTCAATCTTGGTCAAAATCTAACTTTTCTCGACGTCTATTTGGCTTACTTTTTCAGTCAAACTCTCATCATCCATTTCCTGTTACAGTAAAGTTTTTATAAAAATTATTTATTCCTCGGAAGATCTAAAATCATTTAGGAGTCAAAATGAGTAAAAATTTTCGTCAAATATCTTATCAGTCTTATTTACATCGTTTATTCATGAATTATGGACAAATTTCAAATTTACCTAGTATACACTGGAATTCTACGCTGTCAATTCGAAGTATAGTATGGCCAGACTAAATCGAAATTCAGTATACAGGCGCGTTCCCGTTTCACCCAAGTAGATGTTTGACTAAATTTCAGTTTTGAGTATAACATATACGTATTTCTGTTTCCAAAATGAAGCCCGGTGATAATTCTCTTTGTTTTCTGATTTCCTTTCTTGCTTTTTGTGTTTGTTCGAATGATCAATATACTAGATAGAAACGATTTAATTAGACGTGCTTGTTTTTTCGTGCTTAATATTAATAATTGTTCTGATTTTTATCTCACTTGTTTTTTCAGAATTTCTCTCTCTCTCTCTCTCTCTCTGGTATATGTGCACAAAGATATGTTTTTTTACAAAAAGATAAAAATCTATTCTTAAATTATATGATGAATAAAAATAGTCAGAAATATTCACTAATTAGTTGTTCTCCATTTAACGAAAGAGTTCTTTTATTCCAGAAGTTACACGGATTAGAAAAATTTGATGTTTTATCCATCTCAAAAGTTTTTTATATTCGGTAGTTTACTCATCGTCAAAACAATTTAATTCTAATATACACATTCAGTTTAGTGAATTGCACAAATTTCGTAGAAGAGATACTACGTCTTGTCAAACTTTTAACATGATGCTGTTAGAAACTTTCCGTCATGCATTTCTTGAAAATATGAAAGTATATGGTACTATGCATCCTATCACTTTTATAATCTGTAGTATAAATGTCATGGAGTTCCCCATTGAAGGTAACCAATGTCGTTGAGTGAAACGAAACATTTTATTACGGTATAGTAGAAAATTATAGACGATATCATAGATAAATAGCTCTTTTTTCTCTATTTTTAGGCTTGCCATTAAACTTTAAAGTATGATTGATGTCCCTTTGAAAAGTCGTAAGATAAGCCTTAACACAAAAAAAGAGTAAATCAGTGTTTTATTCATCTAGAACACAAAATTAGGTGAGCTTTAGTTAGAACTGGTGTATTCAAAAACTTTGCGATAAAAATGTGTTCTGCTAAGGCAGACCCGTAGCCAGGATTTTTGCGAAAAGGGGGGATCGACTTTTTTGCCTTCAGAGATAGTGTGAAGTCTTATCAACTAGCAACTTTTTCTGACGGGATTCAATGGAAAAAAATCATTTTTTCAAAAATCCAGGGGAACCGGTCCCCCAATTCTCCCTCCCTGACGACGGCCCTGCGCTAAGGATATGCAATTTAGCATGCTCAAGAACATTACCCACAGAAGTTTTTTTTTCAAAAATGCCCCCTTTATGCAAAATCGTTGTTGAAAAATTTGATGCTGCCCATATTGGCGAAAAATCGGATTTCTAAGGTATTTTTCCAAGGGAGAAAAAGCATACTTCAGTACTTCTCGGTACTTCTCCGTACTTCTGAAGTACGAAGTACAAAATACGCTTTTCCCCTTTTCGTACTTCGTACTTCAGAAGTACGGAGAAGTACAGAAGTATACTTTTTCTCCCTTGTATTTTTCTGTGATATGCACCAAAAAACGTCTTCATACAAGATAAAGTCTATATTCTTAATTTGCCCATAAAAGTACGTCCAGGTAATGTGTGACAAAAAAATTTATTTTTAAATTTTGCCTTAACACTAGAACGCCCGGAAATTTTCATGATCTAGGACGCCCAAAGCGGTCATTTTGACCGTTACTGTTTTTTTTAAAAATTTTATACTTAAAATGGTTCTGAATTAAAAAATGAATTAAAAATTCTGCAAAAAATAATTTTTGTGGGACAAATTAAAAGTTATGACATAATTTATTTTTAAATAAATTGTATGCAGTTTGTTTTATTAAGGATAAAAATCACAAAACGGTCAAAATGATCGCTACGGGCGTTCTAGTGTTAAACTCTTCGTGATTTGTTTGAGCGTCTAACTGTATTTGACCCTACAATATCACTTAATTATATTTGACTAATCTTCATAGTTGAAATAAATTCCAGGCGATCATTGAATTTTATCATTCATTATTTTCCTCAAAACAAAGAAAAAGTAAACAAAATCAAATGAAATAACATGAACAACAATGTCCTAGTAGCAACGTAAAATAAGTTTCGGCAAATAAGAATAATCATAATCAAACACGACTGCTGTCAACAAGTGCGACAAAATGGACTAACATGTGACATAAAGTGTCGAGCAATATTTTAGATTTTTCTGTCCAATTTGCTCGAGATTATTTTTTCGGTGGGAAGAGCGAAGTCTGAACTACAAAAAAACATATAAATTGGAAGGGCGAGATCAAATATATTAAGAAACTGGCTCTGCGAAAATGGGATTTATGCTGAACACCTCTCATACGGCCAGAAGAAGGGCCTAACAACGGATGTGAAGTCTGATATGTCCGCATCAAATTATGGTCTCAGTTTGTTTTAATGAAGAAGTTCTGAGAAAGAAACTTTCTATGATTTTTAAATTTATACAATATACCAGTTCGGTTCTCAGTTCAACTACCGGTGTATTTTCTTCCTGACTTTTGCACAAAATTACCCAATAATAGAACGAACTATGGTTATATCATTGAACACATACAATTGTAATAACTGTGATAAAGTCTCTGTGAAAATATGCCTAAATCACATTTCTGCGACTGTCGACAGCTAAATTATGATTATTTCAAAAACAGCTATCCAACTCAAAAGTTTAATATCATACTAAAATTAAGGATCTTCCTGTGAAAAAAGACGATTTCGAGATTTATATATGGCTGGATAGTCCAATTGTCTACTTTCAGAATCTGTATTACGTTCTGCCCCGAAGATAAATTTTTGTGATTTCCGAGGAAGTTTTTTGAAAACCTTAAAAAATAAAATATTCATATTCTAGTTTTTTCTACGATACTCATGCAATGATACTATTTTTTAAATTATATAAATACGTAGAGCAATCTTTTCTGATCAAAACGAGACATGGCACAACCCTATGTTACCTTCTGTTAAAAAGTTACAAACATTTCCTGTCAACCTTTAAAATGCAATAATAAATACACATTCACATTTCTTAAAATCAGTTTTTTGAAAAGTAGATGTTACCATTTCTCCGATTTCTTCTCTATTTTAAGTGCCGCAAGATTTAGGTTAGTTTTAAAATGACGAAAAGTTGTAGCTAATCGTTACGTAAAAAACTGAAACAGAATGCTTTGGATTTGCGAAACGAATCCCCTTTAAAAAAAGTCTCATTTTCCCATCACGACAAGCTGAAATACTTTTTATGCAAAGTTTTTATAAAAATTATTTATTCCTCGGAAGATCTAAAATCATTTAGGAGTCAAAATGAGTGAAAATTTTCGTCAAATATCTTATCAGTCTTATTTACATCGTTTATTCATGAATTATGGACAAATTTCAAATTTACCTAGTATACACTGGAATTCTACGCTGTCAATTCGAAGTATAGTATGGCCAGACTAAATCGAAATTCAGTATACAGGCGCGATTTGTGTTAGTTTTAAAATGACGAAAGGTTGTAGCTAATCGTTACGTAAAAAACTGAAACAGAATGCTTTGGATTTGCGAAACGAATCCCCTTTTAAAAAAAGTCTGATTTTCCCATCACGACAAGCTGCAAATCCTTTTATGCGATTGAAATATTTTTTGAAATATTTATTTTTTGAAATTTTTTTGTGAAATGTGGAAATCTCCAACTAAATGCCAATTTACACTTCAAAAGATGTGTCTCAACCTCTCTTTGTGCATGCCGGGAAGCTAATGAAATAGTCAAGCATTATTTATTAGATTGTTCAACGTATGTTTTAGAAAGAACCGATCTGCTATCCGGTCTGAGCTTCCTGCCCTGTGTGTCGGTGGCTAGTTTATTGGGAGTTCGTGGGAGATGTTTGGGGAGAGTCAAGTTATTCTGAATGAGATATGCTGATATATACTACGCACAGTGCGATTCTGAGAAGTTTCCGTTTCCTCTTGCTGCCAGTACAAGTAGAACAGTAGTAGTGAATATCCAAAAACCCGAATGACTAACTCTTGAGTGAGCTTTCTCTTTCTCTTTTTCTTCCTTTCTTCTTTTAAACTCATTATACGTTTCTTTTTTATACATTTTAAGGCGCACATATGGCGAAAGCCGCTTGCGCAATCGTTCTTTTTTCTTTTTCAATAAAAAAAAAAAGGTTGTAGCTCTGATCTAACAGAATCGAATTTTTCTCATAGTTTGCGAGAAAAATTTTTAATTTTCGAAAAATTATCGAAGCATTTTGCGATAAAACCTCCAGGAACAATAATT